CCAGAATGCTTTAAGGGCGGATAGTGCTCTGCAGAGCAAGCAGTCTGTGTGCACACTCCGACAATATTAGCCGACAACACTAATATTCTTTCGCAGTGCTATTAATCAACTGAATTCCATAATGTATCACTAAGGCATTGGATTACATGATTAATTGGTTGGATAGATTTTGTTTAGCCATGGCAGCAAAGATTTTGGTATGGTGAGCAGCCAAGGAGATATATTAAGAGCAGAAACACTGAACTTTGCATTGCTCATAAAGTAACCTGATGTTTATGCTAAATAAATAGCCTACCCTATGCCTAACCTAGGCCACTGACAATTCTGATGAAACACATGAACTCTGTATCAAAGAAGGTAAATATATGTGTAGCTAGACAGTTCAACACTTACACAATATTTCGCTAACTAAACCGTCCCTGTAATGTTGCTGGCCTTCAAGATTTCCTGGTAGACATACTTCTGAAGTGTTAGCTTGGTTAATGAATATATCGGGGTATCTTGTCATAACATTTGTCAGTTAAGTTAAAATCTAACGTTAATGGATTGCTGTCTTAGAATTAACAAACTTCCTTATAGTAAAGAACCATATATAGCTTGCTAAAGTAACGTTAAGGAATAGATCTGTGACTATATAGCTAACGTTGTTGATTTCCAAAGCCTACTTGATTTTTTAATCTAAATTTCTTATCGTGTCTTTGACTGCTTACTGTTACTCCTTTTACTTTCTTTTGCCACACTGTCATTTTTACTGCTGCATCAAGGACCACTTCCCGAATGTAACAGGGGATTCTGTCACATTTGTACATTATTGATTGTACACAATCAAAGATAATTGCAAAGAATCGCTCGAGAAAATTTGCACACAGTTCTGTTGACGAGCAGAATTTTTGACAGGAGTGGGGCAGACAAAAAAATCACATCAGTCAACTACATTAAACAGATCAAAGAAATAAAAAATACAGGTGGTCATGCAGAGCACCAAGGCCACGGCAGCTTGTGAACATGTGATTTTCAAAGGGGCATCAAGGACTGAAATTCCTGCCTTTTGTAGAGAGTAAAGTGAGGTGGATATTGTATGTAAACGTCCATCAATAAGTCTAAACGAGTATCTAACAATCCCAGTGATGAGCTAACCGCACGAATTGTAGTAAGTACTGCAACGTTATCGTTCTGGGATGCAGGCTGTGATGTTGGTTCCTCATAATCAAACTGCGTTTTAGGATGACGAAAAATGTAAATAATTACGTCCAAATTGGTATTCTGATATATTTTTTGAATTTCTCAGGGTCACATGACACGCTAAATATTATTTTTAAATTACTTAAGGAGAATGTAGCTTGTAGTGTAACTTGCTGGATATGCATCCGTGTATTTTAAATTGTAAATAATACGTGTTGTACCCATGGGTGTCATTAGGTCCGATTCACTGTGGAAGGCATGTCATGTCATGTCCTGTCTCAGTGTTGCGGTCCGGGTTAATGTTGTGTAATATCACTGTACCCAACATGTATATATGATATGATAAAATCCATTTATATTTGATATAAACAAACCTAATCTAAACAAATTGTCTGAATCCATGGGGATTATTCCACTAAACAAAATGTTCTATGCTTAGCACTGTTCTATCTACAGCCCTGGTGGATGACAGGCATTGTCTCTTACTGAAGAGTAAATAGCTTGTCCAGCATTGCCATTATGTTAAGGACCTTAGTGCTGTTTGTCTTGTTTGTGTTACATTCACCTACTCAGACTTGTCCCACTCATTGTCACTGTTGGCTCCTAAACCTCAGGCCCTAAGTTGATTGTGCTTTTTATTTCCATGCTGATAGATTCCTCTCAGCAAATCAGGTCTTCAATGAGAGAACCATGAGTGCTTAATAAATATTATGGCTTTAGTTTGAATATTAGTTTAGCAACTGAGAAATCCCAGGATAGTCTGCTTATTGATGAGGGGCAGGGGGGTGGGGCTACATTACCGGACGTGTTCCAACTGCCTGTATTTCTTGTTCTTACTAGATGTGATTCTGTTGGCATGATTGGTACTGGTTAGCAAAGTTGTGCACCATTAATAATGGAATTGAGAATGGCCCTGAAATTCCCCTTCATTTCATGAGTTTGAATTAATTTGTATTGTGGTTAAAAAAAGGATTCAGAATTCCAGTTTGAATTTAAGGAAGTAGAATTTAATTGGAATTTGAATTCACATAAATTCTCCTAGTGTAGGTGCATCTTTTAACAAAACATATTAATATTTTATTAATTTCACATAAACATTATCATAAAAAGCATATACTGTATCATTGTAATAATGTGGTGTTACTTATAATAATACAACATTTAAAGTGTTACCTATAGAATAAATTAACTGTGCTTTTGTGTACCTTGGTGGAAGAGTGCTATGTTTCCCAGAATGCTCTTTCTTATGCCAAAATCTGCAAAATGAAACCAGACTATCTGAAAACATTCCTGCTAACAAGATGTAAAATTAGCAGAAAACCTGAGAAGCTGTCCATCCTTGCCCATTATGGTGAGCCACCTCCCACAGCCTCACCTGGAAATCACAGAGCCGTTTATAAGCAATGCAATGCAGCTGCCTGAAGTTCCATCAAGGACACTTCAAATTTCAAAGGACATCAACAGGTAAGTTAAGACTTATTGTACTTCATTTTCATTTTGTGGTTACATGTCCATGGGCCCTTGAACAAGGCCCTTAACCCCCAGCTCCGGGGGCATTGTATCCTGGCTGACACTGTGCTGTGACCCCTATTGTTGCACTCAGCTGCATATGGGTCTACGTGTCTCATGGATAGTAAGATGGGTTAGGCAAAGCGAAGCATTTCAATTAGGGTGACCAGATAATCCATGTCAGGGAGGACACTTTGAGCTACTTTGGGTTTTACAAACTAATTTCAAACTGAAAGGCTCATGTGCTTGGCTAATTAGTTCAGCTCTTCTTCTAGTGACACATGCACGATTATAGGAGACTGACCAATTAGCACACAGTAAGAACTCAGTGCTCAAGTGAAATCCAGGTCCTTTTAATTGAAATGGTAGTTTACAAATCCTGTCCTAGCTCAGAGTGTCCTCCCTGACATGGATTATCTGGTCACCCTAATTTCAATATACCAGGGGTCGGCAACCCTAGGCACGCGTGCCACAACTGGCACGCAGACGATGATCACAATAGAGACCTGCACTCCCGCGGGAGTACCGCGGGACCCAACGCACCTAGTCCGGCGCGGGACAAGATTTGATGGGTGAATGCGGGTGCGGGCGGTAAGGTCCTCATGTATGTGCGGGTTGCGGGAGAATAGAATTAATCGCGGGACTCCCTCAAAATGGAATAATTTAATTTATTAAAAACAAGTACTCTATTATTTATCTAGGCTACTGCACAAAAGCAACAAGAACCACTAAATTAAAGGCTAACGCTCTGAAGCAGTATTAGGCCAAATGCTTTTCTATTTGACCACTTGAGAAATCAACGTTTATTATTATTTTGTTTCATTGCAATATTATTAGCCTATTTCTAACTGTTCTGAGTGTATTTCTATGTTCTGAAAGGCTCCTCGTTCGTGTCCATGTTCATCATTCCATTTAATCAAACTCAAATAAAACGAAACATATTTGTTTATTTTCCGTTTCTTTTTTATATACACTCAAAAGGGAAGCAAGTGAAACAAATAACAGAGTAGCGGGAAGAAGTGGTAAAAATAAAACTACTTATATGTTTACCTGCGGGATTTTGCGGGCGGGAGCGGGACAAAACTTGAATACTGCGGGCGGGAGCTGGAGAAAATAATATATATTTTTTTGCAGGAGCGGGACTGAAAAATTCCTCCCGCGCAGGTCTCTAGATCACAACCCTAATTATTAAACACACACAAAATTTTCAGACGTCTTCTATGATGTTGAAATGTCATTGGCTGTTGCTTGGCGCGCCTGCTGCTTTGGTTTGACTACTCGATGGTAGCCCCCCCCGTCGTTAACATGGCACGCGGACTAACAAGAAAATATATACTGTAATTGGCACTCCATGTCAAAAAGGTTGCCAACCCCTGCAATATACCATACTCGTTCTTGTGCAAATGGCAAAGGTAATTTAATTTGCTATGTCACGGTTTTAATGAATGCATGTTATCACACACGCGCGCACGCACGCACACACACATGTTGGTGTACCTATCTAAATGAGGACCGTCCATTCATTACTATGAGGAAAAACCCTAATCCCAATCACGACACCCTTAACCTCTACCCATCTCTAACCTTAACCATAAGTAACCAACCCAAATACAAGACTTTTGGCATTTTTACTTTTTTTGATTGCATTCACAGATTTTTATAAAACTGAGGTTATCCAAATGGGGACCTCAAAAGAGTTCCCCCAAAAGTAGAGAAATTTCAGGTTTTATTACAATTTGGGGACAATGTGGTCCTCAAATGTGATCTATGAAAATTCACACACACACACACACACACAGGTTAATGCATTATTTTCACATGAAATATTTAACATTTTCAGTTCACATTTAATGTTTTAAACTGACAGTATGCTATATTTTTAAAACGCATGCGCAGGCGCAACACTTCCGGCTACAGTGAATAACATCCTTTGTTTAGCTGGCTAGTTAGCTTAGCTATACAGTCCAAAGATGTCGGCCTGGTCTGAGGAGACGGAGGGTGCAAGTGACGTTATCGAGGAATTGCACCCTCCACAAAAAAGAATCCTATCAGCTGTGTGGACATATTTTGGATTCAGAAAAAGAGACGGAGTTATTGTTAAGAGCGACTCGCCGATTTGTAGAGCATGTGGTAAAGCCGTACCGGCCAAAACAGGCAACACATCAAACCTTAGGCACCATCTGAGGAAACACCATCCGTCACTTTATGCCGCTATGCTAAACGTAAGTCAAATATCCCGGGGACACTGGTCAGAAGGTCTTCAGTTTAAGCGGGCAAGTTGAGTTTTCCTTTTTCTTCAATATATGCATAATTTGCTATCAGACGGTGTTAGAACTCGCATACCGGGGCGGGGAAGCGGAGAAATTCGCCGAGTTTGGTGCTGGCCACCTTCACCTCTCCTGATTATTTAAAAAAAATAATTCTGTGGAAAACGATCGATTGGCGGACTGGATTCAGCAATGATAAAAAAAAAAAACACGTCGCGCGCTGGGTAGAAGTCTCACGGGCCGGTACTTTCAGATTAGTTGCTATCCGTCTAATCTTTTACGTGATCTCTGGCATTAAATCGCAATATTTTGTGTCCCGTTTGCAACCAGTACGGTACGCAATTTGCCCTTTTTTTAGTATCCGGACAGCGCTATTGACTGGAAACCCCTCGCTCGAAATATTTTGTTTTCGGTGACATGGGGGAAGGCGCGCAGTGGCGTCCATTATTTCTTCAAACTGAAAAATCAACCCTGACATTGAGAATCCTGTGCTAATACAAGAGATATGCTAACATTCACACGAACTATGTTAACACTTGATGTGTCTGGTGAGCAAAGGACGAGACTTATTTCATGCGACTAACCAAATTAATAAGAATTAATTGGATTCTTCATGTTTGTTTGTGGGGCTAGGAGCTCTTCCTCTTAAGGCGGCAGCATAGGCGTTATAACTTGCCGACAGATGCGGCGGGGTTGGCGGTAGAAAAAATTACGCAATTTGACCTGTGTTTTCGAATCTACACTGCGCAATCTACTACCTTCCCCCTCTCGGCAAATTTTGTCATCGGATTATTACACCCTGAAAGTGGCAACCCTATCTCTAATAATCCATAGGTTATTATTCACAGGAACCACGTCACTGACGCTTGCTGTGTAAGTTAAAGGCAAAGTATATTTCCTGCGACTAATTAATACGGGTTAAATAAATGTATGTAGTGAGTTTTCATTCATGTTTATGTGCTGGGCAGTGGGTATTATTGCATGGCGGCACACTGCTTGTGATCACAGGGTCAGAGGTTTGAATCCCAGGGTACGCTAAGTAATGTCACTAATGGACAGCAGAGGAAGTTGTTAACCCCCGATCATTCCTGGGCCTGTTTGATCCTGCCTTGTCAATTTTACATCGCTTTGAATAAAAGAATGGTATACAGGGGATTTAGGGGGACGTGTTTAAACCGTAATATATCAAAAATTGTTATTGGGATATACGGTTATCATACCATAATTTCTTCTTAAAATAAACAATAGGACTGCAACAGTAATTGTGTATTTTACACGCATATACAAATACTTTTCTAAATTTATAAAATACTTTCTTTTTCAGATGAAACATCCTGAACTTTTGGTGAAGTCTGAACCCAGCGATGACCCAGTCACCCCTAACCCAAGTGTTACGGATACCTCGCCAGCTGAATCTGAAGCCAGCTCTAAATGGGTTGTGGTTCCAGTACCAATGGATACTCGTCAAGTTGCTCTTACAGACAGCATTGTAACATACATTGTAAATGGACTCCTTCCCCTCTCTACTGTAGAAAATAAGGATTTCATTGCAGTTTTGCAGTTGGCTGAACCATTCTTCACAATGCCTTCTCGGAGAGACCTCACCCAGAACCTCATTCCTCAGCGCACCATTGCTGTTAAACTTAATTTAATTAATCTGATACAAAGCACATCCGATATTTGCCTGACTGTGGATCTGTGGTCAAATCGTTCCATGAGGTCATTTTTTGGCATGACTGGTCATTTCATTTCAAATTTTACATTGCACAATGTAATGTTGAGTTGCCAGCGATTCCGAGGAAGGCATTCAGCAGATAACATTTGTGCAGTGTATGAGGATATTTTATCAACTTATGACATTAAGAACAAAGTATCATTCATTGTGACCGATAGTGCATCAAACATGATAAAGGCATCCAACCTTTTCCCACCCATAACTGTTGTTGATGGTGAAGAAGAGGAACAGGATGACACATCTGATCTTCATGTGGTGAACATTGATGAGGAGATGATGTACTTCCCTCCAGAAAGAAGTCCATGCTTTGTCTACACATTGCAACTTGTGGTTCGTGATGCCCTGGATCAAGTTGGTTCTGTAAAAAACTTGCTAGGCAAAATTCAAAAACTCGTGACTTTCTGCTATAAGTCTCCACTGGCTTTTGAGACTTTAGGAGATTACAGAATTCATCCTGGAAATGCTACACGCTGGAATAGTCAATTGAAGATACTAAAGTCAGTCCTTAATATTCGCAGTGATGTCCTTGGTCAGCTGGAGTGCCCTGTTCAGCTGTCACCCACTGAATTTAAAATCATACAGGAACTATGTGTTGTGCTGGAGCCCTTTGAGGAGGTGACAGACAGGTGTCAGGCAGAGAAAGTGGTAACCTCCAGCTTGGTGATTCCGTGTGTTCGAGGCTTAAGATATGCAGTAAAAAACATGAAGATGACTGGCAACAACAACTTGGTGTCCATTCTCCAGAGCTTGGTTGAGAAGCATCTTGCAAAATTTGAAGAAATACAATGCTTTCAGATGGCTTCCATTCTTGACCCAAGATTCAAACTGGACTGGTGTATTGGTGAAGAGGTTAACACCATGAAGGATCTTCTCATGGGAAAAGTTGAGTGTCTCTCCCCAAAACTCAGTGCTGGATATAATGACTGTAGTGACCAACCAAAGAAACGTCCCAAACTTTTTTCCTACATGGAAAGCCAAAGCAGTTCCTCAGCTGTTGCCAAAGCTTCACATGATGTCATTGTGTACCTGAGTCAACCATGTTTGGCAGAGGATGTTGACCCTTTGGCCTACTGGAAAGGAAACCAAACCGGCTTTCCTGAGCTAGCACAACTTGCCTGCAAATACCTTGCTATACCAGCTTCCTCTGCACCTGTTGAAAGAATCTTCAGTGCAGCGGGAAATATTTTCAGACCGGAACGTTCCAATCTGAATGATAAAACCTTTGAAGATCTTTTGCTGATAAAATGTAACAGTACTGAATAATGAATTGTTTATTGGAATAAAGCATAATTGTATTTGCCATGATGTTTTGCTTTTTGTTATAATGCAATAATACAATTTATACTCAAGAAAATAAATGAGCTACTATGTGAAATAATTCTTTGTGGCCCCGCATGCTTTGTGTGCACTGATGGAATTGGCTAAAAGTTATACACAATTTTTCTTACAACCATTCCAATTCCAATTTACCCACATAAACAACCTCTGAACATATATCTGCTGTCTTGAAAGTCAATCTGTTATTTAATTCTTTATGTTTTGCTTGATTAAATGACATTCCTGTGCTGTGTGATTGCACTGAATTTCTTTAAACTGAAATGAATTAGTTTTTTCCTGTTATGTGTTCTGTCAGCGTATCAGGTCTGCAGGGAGAACTATGGGTGCTTAATGAACATAATGGCTTTGGGCTTGAATGTAACTTTAGTAACTGTCCCACACTAGTCTGCTTGCTTGTGGTGGTGGTGTTTGGGTTCCAATGGCCCCTGTAAAGGGTCATCTCTTTGAAATCGTAAAGCATGTGATTTTGTTGGCATTGGTTATGATCAGTACTGGTTAATAAGGTTGTCCACCATTCACTATTTAATTGAGAATTGCTCTGAAAATACAATCATGTTTCTGAATTTGAATTGTGGTTGAAAACAGGATGCAGATTGCTAATAATAGGAAAATCAAGCTTACTGAAGCAGTGAAGCTTTAAATCCAAATGTATCAGAAAAGCATTCAACATTTGAAGCTTTGTAGAACACGGTGCATGCTAGTGACCCCTAATGGTAAAAAAATAGTAATAGCAGAGGCCAATAAATGTTTGTGTTACTGGTCGTATTTTGTATATGACTGATTTCTGTAGAAAACATGTAATGGTAATCCTTGCCTTACAGTGCTTTGACATATGTAAGAACAGATATTTTTGCTTGTGTAACTGAGTGTTTGTGTGATAGTTGGACATGGGTGGGGGGGGGTTAAAGATTTTTGTTCAAGAAGAGTATTTACTCAACAATCTTGGGGCTCAGTGTGTTCCTTTTCTTACTAATATTACTAAAAAATACGTTCACATGGAACTGAGGGTGCAGCGATATGTAAAACTGTAGTGCTAAATTGCAGAGTAGGATAGACATTTCTTGTGATGCCCGGTACTTCAGGCTCAGTGGGTTAACATCAGTTTTTAAGCTGACCAGGACAGCCCCCACTGGCTCCCTTTATTTGAAAAATCACCTCATATTGAATCAGTTTCAAAACTGTCATATCCATCTGCTCTTGAACCTGAGATAATCTTTCCTTGGCAGCTGAGATAGTTCTAAAATATGCCACAGTCCTTCTCACCCTTGCTTTGGTCAAATGAAACCCAGGGGTTTGCTCAAATGTATTTTTAACAAAAAGGCTTGTGCAATATAAGTTGTGTGGTGGAGCTTTACTGTGTTGGCACAGGTAATCATTTTGGCAGCTGCAATAGTGACAAGACACCTCACCTTACCCTGGATACCCTAATCCTCTATAAGGGATGTTTGTATTGCAGCCAAATTTGCAGCAGTGTGAGGTTCTGGGAATTTTCCCACACCTAGCAGCACTATAGCCAATTCATGGGACTCAGTGATGTAATGGCAGGTTACTGCAAGATATGCATCCATATGAAGTCCACATATTTGCTCTCAGGTTCACATCTGATGCCTTCTGCACTTCCTCCTAGGTTTTTTGTGTTTACTTGCTACCATTTCCTTTACAGCAGATATTGTAGATAGAGTGTAGGTAGACTGAAGTTTAGCGGATGTGTGTGTGTTTCATGCTTTGCATGAACATGACTATGCATTGATGAGGTGTTATTATTGTACACCAGTTGTGTTGAGAGCAGATCAGACACTGGACCTCACATGAGAAAATAATATTCATGTACTGTTATATGCGAGGAATTAGGCCTGGGCGATATCGATATTGCATCACACATGCGCAATAATCACCAGGGCTTCAGATGACAGACGAAGCATTTGGCCGGACGCCAGCTTTTCGGTGCTATACGGACATTTATTTACGCCCACAATTTGTGACGCAGTTTAGTAGTATGGCTAAAATATTAATGAGGCTTTGTATGATGCCCAAAAGTCATTATTAGTACAAATACAGTATATCCTTATGTTTAATAAATGTGTCAGACTTTGAACTGCAAAAAGTACCACTACACCGCCGATGTCTCCACCGAGGTTACATGTGTGTGGAGTTTGCATGTTCTTCCCTTGTCATCGTGGGGTTTCCTCTAGGTACTCCAGTTTCCCCCCCACAGTCCAAAGACATGCTGAGGCTAATTGGCATTACTAAAAAAGTGTGCATGTGTGAGTATGGTGTGCAATTGTGCCCTGCAATGGGCTGGCCCCCTATCCAGGGTTGTTCCCTGCCTCATGCCCATTGCTTCCAGGATAGGCTCCAGACCCCCCACAACCCAGTAGGATAAGCAGGTTGGATAATGGATGATGGATATCCACAAGAGCTCCTCTTTTAAAAGATGTTGTGGCTGTTCTTCTTCACCCAGACTTCAGTGCATATTGCACTGAGGTATACCAAACCATAGTAAACCAAAACAGTATTATGTGGTGTGCTCCACTAATCAAGTTTAAGAAACATAAAGTTTATACAGATTACTAAGTTTTGGGTATCACAAAATGCATCTCATTTATAGTTAAGCCATACTACTAATCTTCAGGCACGTGCAGAGGGGGGGGGCAGAGGGTGCTTGAGCACCCGCCCCTTTCCTCCAGGATGCCTCAAGTGCCCTTTTCTTGGGTTTTTTTTTCGTTGTTGTTGTTGTTGTCTTTTTGTTGTTTTTTTTTTTTTAATGTGTATGTGCATATGGAGCCCTGTCTTTGCCCCTCAACAATAAAATGTAACTATTAATCTCAATTTTGCTAAATAAAAGGATCTGGCTTGCATCAGTCACATGACTGCCATTAACCAATGCTCGCCCTTGAGGGCAGAGCGCACTCGTTACAAGCCGGGTACGAGCTCGCAAAGTGCATGCGCATTTTCTGCAGGCTGGGTGGTGCGGAGCTGGAGGAGAAGCAGGCAAATTAATTGGAAGGTGCAGACTGCAACAAAACAGTAAATAGGGTGTACAGCGCACACTATAGTCTATAACAAGAAATGAATTGAAATAAATGAACGTGCTGTTTGTGCAACAGCCCGACAAACATTACCTGTCCTTTTATGAACTGCACAAGTAGTGGTGGTCATTAACTGCTAGCTAACTGGGTAAGGGTGTTACAAGGGGGTCTGTAGCTCTGTCCACCGTTTTAGGGAACATGTTTTGTTTTAAAGTAAGTTACAGGACTTTTCCCTTCTTTTCTGGAGGGCTTTTATTTCACTAAAAACGATCTAATATGGATATTCACATAATTCCATATTAGATTCGTCATGAATGTGAGTTGTTGTTATTCAGCCTGTTCTATCTTTTTTAACTTTGAGCACCCGCCCCTTTAAACGTCTCTGCATGGCCCTGCTAATCTTCTTACCAAATTACCAAAGCCCTATGAGGAATGATGACTTTACAATGATGAAGCTATTTTTATGACATACCTTAGTTGGAGATAGCACAGCAAAATGTTCCCGAATTTTGAGAACGAGTCCTTTTCTTGTATTGTTATGTTGGTATCTGTTCTTTTTTGACAATTGACATAAAGCGGGGCTTTGGTGTTCTGGAAGTGCCTGAAGTCCACCATGATCATAGACGTTTTGGATGCATTGAATTGGAGGGCACTGTCAGTGCACCAGGGGACTGCTCTGTCTGCCTCAAGCTGATATTATACTTAATATTTAAATATGTATTACACATAAACATCTTAATATACATAGCATATACTGTGTCATTGTTATAAAAATGTCATGATATTCAGAATCAAAGAATGTAACATTTGAAGTTTCACCTATATAATAAGTTATTTAACTGTTATTTTGTGTACCATGATGGAAGGGCATTTCATTTCCCAGAATGCTATTGCTTATGCCAAAATCGGCAAAATAGAACCAAGCAGTCTGAAAGCAGACTCACCCACAAGACGGAAAATTCACACGGCAAACCTGCGAAGCTGTCCATCCTTGCCCATTTTGGTGAGCCACCTCCCACAGTCACACCTGGAACTCACAGAACTGTATGTAAGCAATGCAATGCGGCTGACTGGATACCAACAATGCTTCAAATTTCAATGGACATCTACAGGTAAGTTAACAGACTTACTGTAGTTTATTATAATTTTATGATAGTATTTAGTGTCATCACTCAGCATGCTTCAGGTATCTGATATCTTAGGCCTGCAGAAAGTGAACATGTTTACTGTTGTGTGGTTGTGCTGGTTTTGTTCTCTTTGTACTTTCAGTTTAAAAGTAATTTCTGTAGAAATAAAGAAATGTTTATTATATTTTATGCAGTATAATAAAACATACTGTCTATTATGGGTGCAAGAGTGTGACGCTATACCAGGGGTGGGCATTCTCATCCGCAAAGGGCTGGTGTGGATGCAGGTTTTTGGGATATGCTGTAGGTCAGCTGTTCAAACCTAGGTATGGAGGGAAATCCCGGACATTTTTCAAAAGGAATTGCAAATTGCATTTTCCATATGTGGACGCAT